AGGATGTTTTGGTCTACTATACCAAGCTGGACAAACGGGTTGATACAGGGTTTGTGTCAAGGTTTTCTTCTTTTCGCAGTGCTGTTGTCCTGCGTAGTTTGCTCCCTTAGTTGGCTCTTACGACACCCACGGGATGAATAGGGGTGGTGACACTCCGTGTTCTTAATCCGTCACCACACGGAATCACTTCCACGACCATCAATAAAAGAGTAATAAAATAAAAATTTGTTTACTTCCAAATAGTACATACTGTGCGTTATGGTACCACACTAAGCAACGTGTCCTGTGGGTACCGGAAACGATGCAAACATGATACAATTACTGTTTGCTTATACGATATCAGAGTTTTCCATCATAACACATTAAAAACTACTTCAACTTTTACTACTTTTAACCCCCGACGGAAAACGAGGGGTGATAAGTTTAACCTGTGTATCTGTTTGTCTGTGGAATCATAGCTCCCGAACGGATGGACCAATTTCGATGCGGCTTTTTTTTACGTGTGGAATCCGCCTCGGGCCCTCACCCCACCGGGGTTTGCGGCGGGTTGGTGTGTCGGAATCGGACCTACTAAAACAACACGGTGTGCGCCTGTAATTGGTGGGATTCGGGAACTGCTGTTATTAAGACACCCCGACCCCTCCTAGCGCCTGCCCGCAACGGCGCGGGCACCACCTACGGGTACATTCTCCATTCAGGCGACGTCCGGCACACGCGAACATCGCCTCCTCGCGGCTGGCCGTTTGGCTCCTGGCGGGGGGAGGGGAAATCCGTCCCGTCCACCCGCGGCCACACTCAGGGCGGCATCATCGGTCCCGTGCTGCCGCCCTGCCCACTCGACGATGACAGTCTGGAGCGCCTCCACGGGGGCAAAGCCAGCACGTTAAGCCTCCAGCCGGGACGACCAACGAGCCATCGTGGCTCGACGAGCGGCCTCACGCCACTCTCGTATCTCTTTGGGCGGGGGCCGACTGCCACTATCCGCCCCGAACTCAGCCGTCCGCCAATATACTTCGGCGAGTATTTCCGCCTCCAAATCCCACGGGGGAGTACCGGCCAATGCGCACGCCGCCTCCTTCGAAACGGCGCGATAACAGCGTATGGCTCTAACCGCCAATATCCTCTGAGGACGCCAGGGGCGTGCCTTACTCTGGGCAGTCAGAGCTGCCGCCCACACCGGTGCACCATACAGTGCCATCGACCGGACAACCCCCGTGTACAGCCGACGCTGGGTCCACCCAAATTGGGTAAAAGTCGCCCAAGGGCAGACGCAGCGCCGACCAGCTTTGGAGCAAGCTGTCGGAAGCGCTCGTTGAAGAGCCACCTCCCGTCGAGGATCAGGCCCAGATATTTCATATGGCCTGAACTGGTACGAGGACTGAGTTGACCACGACGGGGTCCGTGGAATAATAGAAAACATGCCTATGACAACGTACCGACAAAGCGTTGACGAACGTACGTTAAAACCTGGAGCGCAGTGCAGTGTGATAACCGCCTTTCCATCCGGAGACACTATAAAAGTGTCAGGAAACATAGAGTTATACCTACTGAACCACCCCTTTTTTTTTTTCCGTGCGGAAATCCCCTCGGGTACCACCTATCGGTGGCATGTCGGACTCGAACCGACTAAAACCGCACGCCGTCTCGGGTACTAATAGCCAGGGAACCAGGTATACCCTAGAAAGGAAGTTCCTGGTGCCCCGACATACCTCGGGCCATCTACAGACGAGTAGACCCCCCCCCCCGTGTGGGAACCCCATGTTCCCTCTGCTCCCTGGAAGCGAGCGCGCTTCGCAACGCCCTCGCTGCCACCCGGCCTGCTTCTGCTAGAGTGACAGATGGCCTCACCTGTCACCCCCAGGCCTGCGCTTATGGAGGACGGAGGTCGTTCTGCGACCTCCGACGCCTGAGTCGCCTGCGGTACCTGGCCCGTTCCCGGGCCTGGCTGGCCTGGATAGTTCTAAACCTCTCCCGGTCCCGCTCGGACAGCTACTTGGTACTAAAATATTATCAAAATCTGTCCAGGAGTTTTGAAGATTACCCGGAACAAACAGACAGACAGACAGACAAAAATATTTAAACTGGTTTTTAGGCATAGGTATCGTGCAAATAACCGTGTAAAAAAACCTATTATTTTGACATTACAAACAGACACTTCAATTTTATTTATTTGTGTAGATACTTTCTTACGAGACTTTTCTTTTACGAATTATTTAGAAGAAGAATAACCCGTAAAAAATTTATAAGATAGAGATATGTTGCAAGCAATATATAATGCAAATGCTTTTTAAGACTAACTAAGATTAACAATACAAAAATAGGATTGCTTTCTAATTTTGTAAAGTTAATCCCCAAGTATCATACAATAATACCAAGTTATTTTTACGTTATAATTATTAATTATAATTATTACGTTATAATAATAACAAATACCTATAACTTTTCTGCCAACGTAAAATTTATTAAGTATTATTGTACGACACTTAGGGATAAACTATACAAAATTAGGAAGCAATCCTATTGTTGTGAACAGAGTTACATCAGGTTTTTGTCGAATCGGTCAATTTATCGTAAGTCATGTCTGATTGTTCATTTAATAATAACAATTATAACTTTTCTGCCAACGTAAAATTAATTTGGTATTATTGTATGATACTTAGGGATTAACTATACAAAATTTGAAAGCAATCCCATTTTTGTGAAAAAAATTAGGACAAAACCATCAAAAAACTCGAGTTTTCGCTAATAAACAGCGTTTATTCATTTAATATGATTATTTAAATATATATTTTTAATCTTTAAAGGCCCTGGTTCATTGTATAGTAATTTGATGCAGGAAAATGACTGTATGCTTTCTTTGTTGATAAAAAAAAAACTTAATTTGAGGGCCGTGCCATATACTAAGCAGGCTATCTCCGTCGGCTAGCTTCAGCTTCATTCACGTGACCCGTCTGCTAGTTTGCTGCCCTATTCCATAAAGAAAACAAGTTCAAAATCTATTTATGTCTGTATAAGCCTTTTTCAAAGAGTAAATGTATATTTATTTATTTATTCTATGATACAGGTACCCATAATCTCTCTGATTTATTCGCTTTGAAAGGTTTTATATAGACCGATAGAGATTCGAACTGAGTATTGTCGAATGTAGATCAAAGAAAGTCTTAAATAAAACTTGGGGTTTTTCTTTTATTTATGGTATAGGGGGCACGAGCAGACGGGTCACATGATGGTCACCAGAATCAGTGGGGTTAGCGGGGTAGTAACCCTCATTCGAGAGAGTGAAATCGTCTGAATAATTCTTTTTTTTATGCTATAGACGGGGCACACGAGCAGACTGGTTAACTGATGGTCACCAGAATCAGAGGAGTTAAGTGAAAAGGGGGGGGGGGGGGGGGGGGGGGGTAACTCACTGGCTCACTACAGCGCTGTCACAGCGTCGTTTCAAACTAAGTTAGTTTGAACTTCGACGCTGTGACAGCGATGTACGCAAGGCCGTTTCCTGAGAGAATAGCGCTGCTGTGAGGTCGTGGTGTCGTTCCGGTCTAGCCGATCTCTAAACCCAGGTAGAGCCCTGCATCTTGCACAAATCAACATCCTTAAGAAGTCTGTCAGAAATAATAATGACGTCATGTATGTACAAGCGTTTGATGAAAACGGGAGCATAATTCTTTGTATTTTTTGTTTGTAGATTTGTGTTGAATATTATAATAATAATAAAATAATAATATTCTACCACATTCACACAACGCCATCTAGTCCCAAACTAAGCAGAGCTTGTACTATGGGTACTAGACAACTGATATCAATACATATATACTTTTTTTTTTGTAAATACATACTTATTATACATAGAAACACCCAGACCAAACCAAACATTAAATGTTTATGCACACAAATGTTTGACTTGAGCTTGAATCGAACCCGCGACCTTTTGGAATAGCAGTCCGTTACACAAACCACTACGCCATCCGGTCATTGGTCGCCGGTCGAATATTGTGTTCGCAATCAAGTTTTATTGTTAATAATGTAAATTCGTTTGTATTTACATTTTGTTAATAACCTCTGAACGCCGTCTTTTATGTACCTATATATATATATATATATATATATATATGTATATGGATAATATACATTTTTTTAGAAATGGGAGCGTATACTGCCCGTTTGGTCTCGTTTAAATTTGAAGAAAAAAATTACCAAACCTGAACTTGTGTTGGTAATAACTTAACTCTTAAAGAATGAAGAATACAGTTTATTACAATTCTTCATGATGTAGGCTATCCATAATAATATTATAAATGCGAAAGTGTGTCTGTTACCTCTTTACGCTTAAACCGCTAAACCGATTTAAATGAAATTTGGTATGCAGATAGTTTGAGTCCCTGGAATGGACAGGATAGTTTTAATCCAGGAAATATTTTTTAAGAGGGTGTAAAGGAGGTCTCTACGAGGAATCAATAAACGCTAAACCGATTTAGATGAAATTTGGTATGGAGATAGTTTGATTCCTGAGAAAGGACAAAGACTTTTTATCTCGATAACTGACATACACGCGGGACGGATCCGGGGGCAAAAGTTAGTCTTTAATATAATTAAATTACGAATGTGGTACTGCTATGTGTTGATAGAAAAAAATAAACGCATCGATAAAGCCCTGCCCCCTGACCAATCAGGTTCCAACCTTTCGTCAAATCAACAGCCTTTAACAGTCCACTGCTGGACACAGGCCTCTCCTTAGAAAGGAGGTTTTGGCCTACTATATCACGCTTGCCAGACGGGTTGGTATAGGGTTTTTGTATAGTTTTCCTTCTCTCTGCAGTGCTGTTGTCCTGCGTATTTCGCTCCCTTAGTCACACCCACGGCATGAATAGGGGTGGTGACTCTCTGTATTCTTAATCCGTCACCACACGGACAAGCTTTCGTACGAAACGATAATTCTGAAAACGGTGGTGATTATTACAACAATTTTTTTTTTATATTTCCAGCATAGAATCAGTATAATGGCGTTATGCGAGGGTCAATTGGATTGCGCTCTGCCTCAGCTCAAACGTGAAGAGTGTAGCAGCGAAGGGAGTAAGAAAGAGAGTCCAGAGAAGAAGCCAAAATTGGAGCCCAATGGCGATATTTATGGGCTTAATCAAGGTTTGTGTTAATTAGGAAATATGTACAGGGCCTCCGTTCTGCTATTTTAATATTGTATCAATAGACTGTCGATGGAATGTCGTAGGAATACTTTTGCATTTTTCGTATTCTACTAACTATTTAAGACCAATGGCCTCCCGATGACTTGTCACTTATACAAATGTCGTCGATGTCTTTGTAATAGTTTAGTTAACGGTACATTTTAAATTTGTAAGGAAATTAAATTTTTAATTTTCCAGATATGGCAATGTTGTTAATATCACCATTGATGAGCTATTGTCACTACATCCACAGTCTATTAACACTGAATTTATGTTAGTAGAATACCGATATTTTGACCGATGTCAGTGGCATCTCAATAGCGTGTCAATAGAATGATAGTGGCGTGTACGTTAACATAAAACAGCAGAATTGATTCCCAGAATGTTCGAATATGTGTGGGCGTATTAATAGGGTGACCTATAGGGTGGTATAGGACCTCGTTTTGTAGGTATAAGGTAAAGAGCTAACAATTTTTAATTTCTTAACAATTTTTGAAAATGACAAACTCTAATTGAACTTTTAATTTTTAAGCGTATAAGAGAATGCTGCCATGAATAATTCTATGGGTATTTAAGGGAAAGATTTTGATGAAATGTTAAAAAAAGTTTAAATGAAATGTAAGTTCTGCAAATGCCGCTATGACTGGCCTGTTGGTCTAGTGGTTAGTGACCCTGACTGCTACGCCAGAGGTCGTGGGTTCGATTCCCACTCAGGACAAATGATTGTGTGATAGTGATGTGTCTGGGTGTCCTTTATCTATAATATGCATGTATTTAGAAATAAATAAGTATGTTTATCAGCAGTCTGGTTACCAGAGTACAGGCTCTGCCTAGTTTGGAATCAGACGGCCGTGTGTGAGATGTGTATAAATATTATTTTGGAACGAAGTTCTTTATCGGCGGCGTTACACACTCTGAACGGATGAGAGCGAGCGAGACCGAAAAATGTGTAACAAGACTATTTTCCGACACTATAGCAAACGTCTACCAAGAAGCTAACTTGGTTCCAGCCGGGGGTCCATATACCCCTCAGTTTTATTATTAATATAAACAAATCACTGACACTGACCTAAAAATTTCATACTAACTGACCCGTGTGATTGTCTGCGTCTCTCAAAAAGAAGAAATTTTACCCATTTTTGTAACATTTTTGATTGATGCACGACTCCTAATGGTCATAGCATGATGTTATATAACCTATAGCCTTCCTCGATAAATAGCATATCCAACACAAAGAATTTTTCAATTTGAACTAGCAGTTTTTGAGATTAGCTTGTTCAACCAACCAAACAAACCAAAAAAAACTGTTTCCCAAGATCGAAGAACCCAACCATCTAAGACATTATTTTATTAAGTTTTTTTTCGTTTGCCCCCCATAGTGCCTGGTGGTCTACCGTTAAGCGTAGATTACCGTTCTCCGGTATCCCATTTCGTGCCTCCAGCGGTTGAGTTGTATGCTGCAAGACACAAACAGGAACAACATAGTACCGGTACGTATTAAATTGCCGTGTGGTGATGGACTAAGAATACAGAGTGTCACCACCCCTATTCATCCCGTGGGTGTCGTGAGAGTCGACTAAGAGAGCAATCTACACAGGACAGCGGGACTGCAAAGAGAAGGTAAACTTGAAACCCTATAGCAACCTGTCTGGCCAGCGTAGTATAGTAGGCCAAAACCTCATTTTTAAAGAGAGGCCTATGTCCAGCAGTGGACTAATGAAGGCTGATGATGATGTATTTTAGACCTGGCTTAACCACTTCAGAAAGACTGGATTTTTTATTCCATAGGCTGCAAACGAGAAGGCGGGTCACCTGACGGTAAGTGATTACCGCCTACCTTGGACACCTGCAACTCAAGAGTCATAGTGTCCCCCCTTTCGAGACCCCCCCAGAAACCGGGGAGGGGGGTTTGTTCTCCGGCAACCTCACTCGCTTGGTGAAAGCCAACGAAAGAATTACTTAACAGCGTTTTGTGCCTAAGCATGGCCATGCAGCAATCTCTGTTTAAGGGTGGAAGCTCAAAAGTGCAGCAATGCACTTGTGACTCTTGAGTTGCAGGTGTCCACGATGGTCACTTACCATCAGGTGACCATTCTGCGATCTCTTCCCCCCTCTATTTCGGGGGGAGCGAGCTCGAAAGTGCAGCAATGCACTTGTGACTTGAGTTACAGGTGTCCACAGGTGGTCACCTACCATCAGGTGACCCTGCTGCAATTCCCCCCCCCCCCCCCCTCTATTTCGGGGGGTCACTTACCATCAGGTGACCCGTCCGCTCATATGCCTTTCGACCCCCCCCCCCCCTTCCCATACTATACATATAAATAGGAAAACAAGGGGATAGCAGCATTAAAGATTAATATTATTACTGTAATAATTGTAACAGCCGAATCAAGTGGTCCGCCAACACCTGTAAAGCGGAAACGAGGTCGACCGCGGGTGGACAAAACGAGTCCAGAATATCTGGCCAATTTGGCCGCCAGAAAACAGGCCAAAGAAATGGGTAAGTGTATATTATGTATGTTTTATGTTTATATTTAACGTTTGCGATCCAAAACTACTCTGCCGCTCCGCACGGAATTTTGCATGGACGTTTTCAGGATAGTCTTTATTTTATACTAGCTGACCCTGCAAACGTTGTTTTGCTATTTACACAATTAATTTTTTTTTTTTTAATTTCGATAAATCCGTTCTTAGCTGACCTCTACTCGGTGAAAAGAATATTCCTACCAAATTTCAAGTCTTTAGCTCTAATGGTTCCAGAGATATCGTGATGAGTGACTATATACGTGGAAATCTCTTATAGTATATATATATAGATTTTGAGATCCCATTCCACCCCTTTTTTTTTTTTTTTTTTTTTTTTTTTTTTTTTTCGTGCGGAAATCCCCTCGGATACCACCTGTCGGTGGCATGTCGGACTCGAACCGACTAAAACCGCACGCCGTCGCCGGGTACTAATAGCCGGGGAACCAGGTATACCCTAGAAAGGAAGTCCCTGGTGCCCATTCAATCCCTCGAATGGCTGAACACCTGTATTCTGTAAGAATTTTAAATAGTACTTTTTAAACTGTATACATTTATTTGGAGTTTCTTTTTGTCAAGATCGTACCTTTGAATGAATAAAAATCCTTAAAAAAAAAAGTTGCACCGACTTCAGACAATACTAACAAAGAGCACTAAAAACCTAGCGGCAATTGCGTTCGATTTGCTGACATTTTTTTAACAGTTCCGTTGTCTGACTCCGAAATTTAAATGGGACCATTTCGAAATAAAACCCTTTTATTTTGAAAATCCGTCTATATATGACGGAGTTATGGCGATCCTCCCTTTCGAAGTCGGTTAAAAAAGCACACAGTTTAACAGTTGAAATTTCAATAGGATTATTTTTATGGTAGCTAAAGCTAATACGTAGAATAAATAAAATAATAAATAAATAAATAATATTCTACCACATACACACAACGCCATCTAGTCCCAAACTAAGCAGAGCTTGTACTATGGGTACTAGACAACTGATATAAATACATATATACTTACATACACACATATATACATATATACTTAATATTTACATACACATATCAACAGAGATCTTTTAAACCCAAATATTTCAGAATAGTGATGATTATTGCTACTTTAAAATCATAATAATATGAATCAGTGATAGATTTTATTCACTGCGATTTCACCTGTGATCAATTACTACTGATATTTGGTCATAGACAATATAAATGCGTTCAACTTTTTCTTTTTGCGTGTCTGGGGCTAGTGGACGCAGTGACTTTGTTAATTATTCACAGGTGTGATATGATTTATAACAGGTGATTGTGATTTAATTCCATCCCTATTGCAGATTAAAATTTTAGCTCAATAACGTAACGTAAGCCTATTTGTGTACACTTGGCACAAATATTTCTAAATACACACATATTATAAATAAATTACACCCAGATGTAGAACAAATGATCATGCTCAATTCACAATATTTGTCCTGGCTGGGAATCGAATCTACGACCTCTGGCTTAGAAGTCAGGATCGCCAAGATCGCACTAAACCAACGGGCAAAAATAACATTTAAATGAATTTTTTTCGGCATCCGCTTGACAATTATAAAATTTAGATTTCTTTGGCTTCTATTTCTTCTTCCTCCGAGTCTTCTTCCTAAACTAAGTTGGGGTTGGCTTTAAGTCAACTACAATACGGCTGAAGTTCGATTTTTACCATGAACAACTGCGATCAGACCTCCACAACCCAAGTACTAGGACTGTTGGTAGACTTTTTAGGGCGCCAACTACCCCTTGTCCGTGTGGTGACGGATTAAGAATACAGAGTGTCACCACCCCTATTCACCCCGTGGGTGTCGTAAGAGCCGACTAAGGGAGCAAACTACGCAGGACTACAGCACTGCAGAGAGAAGGAAAACTTGACACAAACCCTATGTCAACCCGTCTGGCCAGCGTGGTATAGTAGGCCAAAACCTCCTTTCTAAGGAGAGGCACATGTCCAACAGTGGACTAGTAAAGTCTGTTGATGAACTACCCGTAACGATTGCCACAGATGTTAAAAAAATATAGAATTGAAAGGACAACAAGAATCTTAATATACACGTATTCATACATATTATTTTTATACACAAACCATTTTTTTTTAAACTTTTATTTTAATTATTTTTTGTTATTTTGTTTTTGCTTTTAATTTTCTTACAGCCGCTATGATGAATAACAGAACTCCAGAGCCTGGGGAGAAACGCAAGCGGGGTCGTCCACGCGTGGACAAAACTAGCCCAGAATATCTAGCTAGAAAGAAGGCTAGGGAACTCGGTGAGTTGTGAACAAAAAAAAGTTATGGAGTGGTTTATGCACTATGGTTTGGGTACACCTAACAGTTTTTTTTGCTTGTACATAAGCTTGGTGTTTTGGTAACGGGACATGTTGTAGGTTCGAACCCCATATGGGACAACACTTTGTGTGATCCACAAATTGTTGTTTTGAGTTTGGGTGTTCTTTGTGTCCGTTTCATGAATGTTTTGTAAACGTCTCACGCGACATAGGATATATTCTTATTGCGGGAGTTGCCCTTTAATTTATAATAAAAAATGTACAAAAAGCTAAAATATGAAAGCCGCCATTTTGTCGTGGTGGCCATTTTGAATCTGGTTTTATATTATGTACTGTATTCTAATAATCAAACTTAATCATTTGGTACCTATACTGATGGGGTTGAAAAATAAATGTAATCCGCCCTTTTGGTGTGCAGCCATCTTTGATACACATAAACATATATAATTGTATTGTCATCAATTTTGAAGATGTGTAGCAAATTCAGATTAATTGATCACCAGGGAGGGTATACTTTTAATTACAAAATTTGACCAAAACAGGTCAAGTTAAATAAAACCGTTTAAAGCAGGTCAAGCTAAATAAGACCTATCAAAACAGTGCGAGCTAATTAAAACCGTTTAAACAAGTGAAGCTAAATAAAACCGTTCAAAACAGGTCGAGCTAAATAAAACCGTTTAAAGCAGGTGAAGCTAAATAAAACCGTTTCAAAAAGGTCAATCTAAATAAAACCGTACAAAGCAGGTTGACCTAAATAAAACGTTCAAAACAGGTTGAACTAAATAAAACTGTACAAAACAGGTCGAGCTAAATAAAACCGCCCAAAACAGGTCGAGCTAATTAAAACCATTTAAACAAGTGAAGCTAAATAAAACCGTTTTAAACAAGTGAAGGTAAATAAAACCGTTCAAAACAGGTCGAGCTAAATAAAACCGTTCAAAACAGGTCGAGCTCAATAAAACCGTTTAAACAAAAGCTGAATAAAACCATGCAAAACAGTTCGAGCTAAATAAAACCGTTCAAAACAGGTCGAGCTATATAAAACCCTTTTAAACAGGTCGAGCTAAATAAAACCGTTCAAAACAGGTGAAGCTAAATAAAACTGCTCAAAACAGGTCGAGCTAAATAAAACCGGTTAAATCAAGTCAAGCTAATTAAAGAACATTATTAAATAAGGGTTTCGAATCGACAACATTTATGGACAGTATTCGAATTAAATGTGTCTTAGATTAAAAAAATGCAAATATTGTTACTATGAAAAAAGGATCGACATATTTGTTGCTTATCAAACATTAATGGGTGCGTTCAGAAATTTATTTTGTGACCAAACTTAGAAAAAGATGCAAAGCTACATAAAAAAATAAGAAACGAATTTCCGTAATCTATATAAATATTAAAAAGCTAAAGTCTGTTTGTTTGTTTGGTATCTAAGGAACTAGTGGTTCGAATTGAAAAATTCTTTTAGTGTTGGATAAACCATTTATCAAGGCAGGCTATAACATACGCCATACGTTGTCCATTTAATGTAGATCAAAATAACCTTTTACATTGTATCATTAAAATTAATTCTTTTAGATCGATTCTTGATTCGATAAGATGCGGGGTAAAGCGGCCCTCGCCGCGTCAGGCCATAAGTCCGTCCCGGGTGGTAGCGGCCGGCAGGAGAAGATCGGGCCTATAAATATTGTATTTGAAATTGGCTGTACGGATAGCGTAGTGGTTTAAGCGGTCGCCACGCCGCTTATTACTACGCTGAGTGTTGTGGGTCCGATCCTCACATGGGACGACACTTTGTGTGATCACAAAGTGTCGTCCCATTAGGGTGGTGGTCACACTGGGTGTCCTATATGCCCGTTTCATGTATGTTTGTAAAGTACCTCGCGAAACAGGATATATTCCTAATACGGGAGTTGTCTTTAAAGAAAAAAAGATGTCCTGTAGTATAGTCTTATCATAATAATAGTATAATTAATTACTCCACACTGACACCACATCAGTAGTATTAGTAGTAACTACATTCCACCCGTGCGATGTCGGGGCGGATCACAAGTTCCCTATTAAATCGTGTTTTTAACATGCCTTTGTCAGTATGTAACTTTTTAACTATGTAAATAAACGTTGGAAGTGAATTGTAACCTACTTGTAACCTCTTTTCCAAGGAGAGGCCTATGTCCAGCAGTGGACTATTAAAAGCTGTTGATGTGTGTCATAGTCGTATCCAAATATAATTTTGTATGTAAATATGTAGTTTGGTTTGGTTTATCTTGGAGCTGGTCTGATGCTGGAACGTGGTGGTGATTGGTGGAACTACTAGTAAACCTTTGAAGTTTGGGCTCATATGATTCCTTTTTACAAGTCCAATAGGACTTGGTAATATGTCTGATGATGTAGGGCAACTCTCTTCATCGTCATCAGACACACTACCAGTCTGTCAATGGAGTCAATGGAGGGGAAACTCTTTGTTATGTTACTTTTTAATTTGTTTTTTTTTTGTGTTTTGTATCTTTAATTTTACAAAACTATAATTCATACTAACCTTTTCAATGAATTTATTCTACAATTCTTTTTTACTATTGGATTCATATCGAGTGTGAATTGGGTAGGGTTCAAATGAGCAACCACAGTCATGATTCACATACTAACAGACATTTAGGACGAATTTCAGGACTTTGATACCACCCGTCCTTGTCATAGCTGGTCACATTCGTGAAGCTCACCCCCACTACTGTGGACGACACATTTTTTACCATTTTACAGCAGTTCCGAATAATAATTAGGGGTCATTAGGGTTACACATGTAACTCTAATGACCCCTAATTGTTATTATTATGTACAGTTTCGCTATACGACACTATTTCTTTTGTCCTACAGAAGCGTTGGAACGCAAAGCCAAAAGGGAATACAAAAGGCGCGCTACTGGAGGTAAGAGTGCATATTTAGTATTAAATTTAAATTCGGGTGCCTATTAATTGGAATGAATTTCATTAAAAATATCAGCTCTCTTCATAGACAAGAATCAAAATCGCAGTTTAACCGCTGTAAATACGCAGTACTTTGAGAATACGGAGTGTCATCACCCCCTATTCATCCCGTGGGTGTCGTAAGAGCCGACTAAGGGAGCAAACTGCGCAGGACAACAGCACTGCAGAGAGAAGGAAACCTTGACACAAACCCTATATTAACCCGTCTGGTCAGGGTGGTATATTACGCCAAAACCTAATTTCTAAGGAGAGGCTAGACGACATATGTCTGTTAAAGGCTGCCAATGATGATGCTTTTAATGATTTTGATGCACCACTTTATGGTGTAAAATAAATAAATATTATTATGATTAATTTAAAAATGAATTTAGAAAACAGAACAAAGAAGTTTAATTTTGAAATGGAAGTTGTTAAAAATCACCACTGGCGCTAGTGTCGCTAAGTGTAACGGACCAACGGATAGATGGCGTTACTGCGCCTTTGATTCCCAAATAGTAACAGTCCTTTGGAGAGTACTGACATTTTAGTTGAATTTTCTTATATCGGTGTATATTCATTAGCACAGAAGAATTAACTTTTTTTTGGTTTACCCACAATTGTTAACACAAGTAAACAAAGTAAAAAATCACAAAAAGAAGACAATAGGTATGGTGTAACAATTACTTAAAAGCAAACTCCGCATAAAAGGAGTTGTACCGTATGTTACCGTAACTGCCGTGCCAATCCAAAAGATTGTAACTTACAGTGTATTTGTTTAGTATTCGACAAACTATAGGTTTTCGTATCAAATAAAACCTCTTTTCTTAGTTGAAATATTGATTTAATTGTCCAGGATAAAATTTACAGTGTATATTGTAACAGAATTATCGTAAGTAATGATTTGCGTTTACCACAATATTTTAGCTGTGAGTAGTGGGTGACGGATTAAGAATACGGATTGTCACCACCCCCGCTCATCCCGTGGGTGTCGTAAGAGCCGATTAAGGGAGCGAACTATGCAGGACAACAAAACTGCAAAGAGAAGGAAAACTTGACACAAGCCCTATACCAACCCGTCTGGCCAGCGTGGTATAGCAGGCCAAGACTCCTCTCCTTTCTAAGGAGAGGCATATGTCCAGCAGTGGACCGTTGATGATGAGTAGTGGCAGTGAAAAAGTAATGCCTTAAAGAAATTAAAATCATTGTTTTCGTTTTTATTACGGATTGGTAAAATAAATTTGTAAATATATGTATTTTACAACGACGTTAATTAGCCATTTACTAATTTTTTTTCACCATTTTAAATAACATTCGAAAATATTCACTTCAGTTTAGGTGTATAGACATATCATTTTATGTTGACTATTACAACGTTTGATTTCACATCACATCATCACATCAACAGCCTTTAACAGTCCACTGCTGGACATAGGCCTCTCCTTAGAAAGGAGGTTTTGGCCTACTATACCACTCTGGCCAGACGGGTTGATATAGGGTTTGTGTCAAGTTTTCCTTCTATTTGCCGTGCTGGCTGTCCTACGTTAGTTCCCTTAGTCGCCTCTTACGACACCCACGGGATGAATAGGGGTGGTGGCACTCCGTATTCTTAATCCGCCCACACAGACGATTTGACGTTTGATTTACTAATAATAAAATATCTTACACATCTCACACACGGCCGTCTGATCCCAAACTAGGCAGAGCCTGTACTTCTGTACTGCCCGTTGGTCTAGTTTTTAGTGACCGTAACTGCTAATCCAGTGGTCGTGGGTTCGATTCCCACCCAGGATAAATAATGGAATGAGCACGATCATTTGTTCTGTGTCTGGGTGTAATTTATCTAAAATTTGTATGGAGTATAAGTATGTTTATCAGCGGCCTGGTCACTGTAGTACAGGCTTTACCTAATTTGGGATTAGAGTGCCGTGTGTAAGACGAAAAAAATATGTGTATATATTTATTATAAAATATGTGGATTATAGTTATAAACTTTATTTGCCTCATTAAGGTCGATTCTTGATTTTTTTTATGGTATAAGGGGTAAATAAGCCGACCGGTCACCATGGTAAGCAACTACCGCCGCCCATGGGCACCTGCAACTCAAAAGTCACAAGTGCGTAGCCGCCCTTGGAGACCCTCCTGGATTTGGGCTCCGGTAACCTCACTCACTCAGTGAACAGGCAACGAGAGAATTGCTTAACACATTGTTTTCTGTGAGGTCGTGGTATCCACTCCGGTCGAGCCGGCCCATTCTTGCCGAAGCATAGCTCTCCCACGGTAAAGATTGTCTGTGGTTATATTGTTGTAATAGGCGTGAACACAGTGTTTTGCCTGAACAACGTTCAATCGTTTTCAAAAAATTCGTTTTCAAAAGTTACAGTGTATTGGATTGGAACCGCAGTTTAGCTTATACAATATTATAATAATAGTGTAGCACTATTAAATTTTATTTAAACAAATAATTTTATATATAAAATTCTCGTGTCACAATGTTCGTTCCCGTACTCCTCCGAAACGGCTTGACCGATTCTCATGAAATTTTGTGTGCACATCGGGTAGGTCTGAGAATCGGCCAACATCTATTTTTCATACCCCTAAATGGTAAGGGTGACCCATCCCTATTTTTTTTTTGTTTTGCAATACAACGTTTGCCGGGTCAGCTAGTAATATTATGAATAAATGTCAATTTTAAAACAATATACTATGATTCATAGTAATAAATTAATAGGATATAATGAATATGGACTGAGCTCAGGGTCAAACATTATATCTTAGTAGCTGGCCCGGCAAACGTTGTTTTGCCATAGGTATACATTATTTCTAGAAAATATTGAAAAAAAAATTACAGAGGTTGGTCACCCCTAATTTTTTGTCCCTTGTCATTGAAGGGGTATGAAAAGTAGATGTTGGCCGATTCTCAGACCTACCCGATATGCACACAAATTTCATAAAAATCGGTCCAGCCGTTTCGGAGGAGTATGGTAACTAACATTGTGACACGAGAATTTTATATATAAGATATATATTATACTAGCTTTCGCCAGCGTAAATGTGGGTAAAAAGTATGTCTTTCCTCAGAAATCAAATTATCTGCATACCAAATTTCATCTAAATCAATTCAGCGGTTAATGAATCCCCATACAAAATTTCACCCCCTTAAAAGAGGATTTCTGGGATAAAAACTACGCTATGTTCTTTCGCGGTACTCGGATTATCTCTATACCTAATTTCATCTAAATCAGTTAAGCGGTTTAAGCATAAAGAGGTAACATATAGACAAACATAGAAAGACAGACAGACAGACACACTTTTGCATTGATAATGTCTTACATTCACACTTCCGTCGCTATTGATCTGCTAGGTTCTTTAGCGAATAAGACTTAACTTTATACAAGAACATACAGTAAAAAAATCTTTAAAACTTCAAAAACTGAGCGCACCCGTGACTATTGAATTGTGGGTGTACATCGGCGGTGTAGTCACTCTACATCAGAAAGTCAATTCTCGTAATAAAAATTCGTTTAAAATTCACTTCCGATCTCTCGATCTCACAGATATCGTAAAAGGTATTCTCGTAGTACAGTACATTAAACTTTTACTGTAATGTGATTATATCGTGTTGTGGCCGAAATCCGAAGTCCGAAGGCCGAAGTCCGTGTAGTGACGGATTAAGAATACAAATTGGCACCACCCCAATTCATCTCGTGGGTATCGTAAGAGCCGACTAAGGAAGCAAACTAAGCAGGACAACAGCACTGCAAAGAGAAGGAAAACTTGAAACAAACCCTATACCAACCCGTCTGGCCAGCGTGGTATAGTAGGCCAAAACCTCCTTTCTAAGGAGAGGCCTATGTCCAGCAGTGGACTAGTATAGGCTGTTGATGATGATGATGATGTGGCCGAAATTTGAATCGGTATTCTACTAGTCTTAGTAGTAGTTTATTTATTTATGCAAAAAGTACATTCAATTGTACAATGGTGGACTTAATGCCACAGGCATTATCTCACAGTCAACTTTTACGTGGTGGGGAAATGTCTGAGAAGGTGCATTAGAAATCTAAATTTTTTAAAGAAAATAATAATATAATTGAGGCGATGGACAGAACTAGTGGGAGAGATATAGAATAGAATAGAATAATCTTTATTGTACACCAATTCAGGATATTATACATACAATAGTTTTCCAAGTTAGTGACCATGTACAAATGGCGGCCTTATCGCTAAAAAGCAATATCTTACAGGCAACCTTTGGATGGACAAATAGACTGTAAATAGGTAACTCGCTAAGAGAATACCGGTAAATTAGCTTGGAGAAATTTTTGCGTTTGTAGTAGTGTATGGTCAAACTGGTTTATTCTGGTTTTGTGCGTGTTTCCACTTTCCACTATCAAGTGACGATTTTTTGCTTTAGATTGAAATATCTCGGAAACGGTGCGTCCTAGGCCAAAAATAACAAAAATTTTGACCCCCCGTAGACCCCCCGGAGTTTTAAAAACCTAGATGAAAGGAAAAAAAAACAAAATTTAAATATCGGTCTCTCCTCTTTGAAGTTTCACTTCTATCGTGTGTGAATCGCACACACACCTTTTTTTTTATAAAGTCAAAACCTTTTTCTTTAAAATAAAAACTTGTTTTATTGAAAACAAAAATCAGAGTGTTGCTAGGGATAAGTATAAAATTAAATAGTAATGTTAGGATATCGAAACATTTTTGTATAGGCCAGAACGATATAGTGGAAACGCGCTCTAAGATCTGAGTAATATACACACCACTACATATGCAAAAATTTCTCGAGACTAATTTCACTGTACCTTTTATGTCATTTGTGAGATCGAGGCTTGAATTTTCAACGAAATTTTATTACGAGAATTGACCATTAGGCGCCCGCACCTAGCTCTTTAACCCATACATCACAGAAAGAAGATTCTAGACGATTTTCTCCAATGTCTAATGAATATACAC